GAGAGACGTGATGGAGAAGGGGACGGGTGTCGGGATGATGATGCTGTCGGTGTCGGTGTCGATGGTGAAGGGGGTTTGAGGCGGGTCGCTGCAGTTGGTGATTTCGATCTGCAGCATAACACTCTAGTCAGCCACGAAGTTGGTTCGAAGAGAGGTGGACGGACCGGTATAAAGATCCAAAAGAGTTGAGCATCTGCAGATAGTCACAACATAAATTATGTGTCTGCTGATCCACTGGGGACGCGTCTGTTGCCACGTATAGCCTAGAGGCCGTATCGAATAGAAAGGCTTTTGGTGAAGATGAGTTCTGTGACGTCGCATTCTCGCATTAGCTGTCGCTGACGGGACCAACAGAAGGGGAGAAAGACACGCACGGCACAGAAAATGTTCAATAGTTCTTCGAGGTACGGTAACGAGTCAATCAGCTTATGCAGGACTCGCGAGAAGGCTTCGTGTAAGGAGTGATCGTACACGGAGGTAAGATGAAGGTCGAGAGGGTTGAGTTCGTAGTCGGGTGATACGTCCAGTAGTCTATCAGAGATCCGTTCGTGGATCTGACGGAAGTTTTCTACAGGGCCAGAATTGAGTATAAATGGACATCAGTTCTATGGGTATGGTGAGACGCACCGAGCTTGTCCTCATCCTGCATCTTCTCAGCTTTGTGCACGAATACTTCGAGATTGATATCTGGGTTATCGTGATAAGCAGCAATAATAAACTCGACAAGTTTTGATATCGGTTGTTGGTACACATCCTGCTCACACGACTCTTATCAGGTACCTTGGCAGCCTAACGACGAGAGTCACTCACCCGAATGTCAATGACGAAAATCAACGAGGAGAACTCTGACAACGAAGTGCCTAAATCCTCGACTGTGATATTTCCTGGACAGTCCCATATTTCAAGAGGAATAACTGTGCTAGTGGTGGCGTTCATATCGGCGGAACCGAAGAAAGACAAATGAAAGCATACGCACTCGAAGGTATGCTTCGTTATTCGTATGGTAGTCTCCAGAAAGAAAGTCTGCTTTGGAGGCAGCTTGTTAAAGAGGACATTAAGTATGGATGTTTTCCCTGCCCTGTTAACCCATTGTTAAACACCTCAGATTCGGCAAGCAGATTTAAGCGCTTACCTCCGGAGGCCCAACAACAATATTTTTGTCCTGATAACCCCACCTTCGGGCCCATCCTGGGCTTTGAGGACCGGCTGTTTGCCCCTTGGATAGTCTGAGGCTTTCCCGTTGTCCGGAGGGGGCATGATAGTGGGTAAGTTCGGGGAGCTATGCTTTTGGCCCATGAGATCGCACTTGGACCGATATGGTGGCCAAGAAGAGAAAGAAGATCGTTGCCCGCTTCGGGACGATGTTTACCGCATATGGAGTGCCGGCGCACGTTCGTTCTTCTAGTATCAGCATCATATATCGCGCTATCTCCTACTTTGTCTTGCATAACCAGTCTAGTCCAACACTATGAAGTTCGGTCGCAAGATCAGTGTAAGTTTCATCGACACTTGCTTGGCTTGTGACATCATTCCAATAACTTTGGCGAGAAAAGAACGACTTGTATAACGAATGGAGACCGTTTTACCTTGATTATAATTTGCTGAAACGTGAGCTCAAGGTGCGTACATAATTGTCCACAAATGTCTAGTGAGTCGCTTCATCAACCAATGACCAGGACCGCACAACCTCGCATACCTGGGACAAAAATGATGAACGACAATTTACGACGATGCTCGAGAAAGAGCTTGACAAGATTCACGACTTCCAGAAAGCAAAGGTATCGCTTTAATTCCGGTTTTTCGGAAGTATGCATCTAAAAGCCTTGTCCTTTAGACCTCGGAGCTCTCGCGTCGTATCCGCGACGCTGAGAAAGATGTCCAGCGTCTCGTAAGCGAAGACTATGTAATAACCCCCCATCAGGAACCTTCTCCTACTGATGCTGAAGCTCAACAACATGACTCGTACGGGCCAGACGCAGGCTCTGATGACGACGACTCTGATGACGGACACGAAGACAGCGAGCCTGAGTCTTTTGATGCGCTTGAGAGCCGCTTCCATGGCCTCGAAGAGGAAGTTGCTACACTCGTTGCGGACGTGCATGATTTGGCACTGTATACTAAGCTAAATATCACCGGTTTCATGAAAATCCTGAAGGTCTGTTGTTTGTAGCTATTTCATCCTCCTATGTTTAATAATTGCGCGTTTCTACAGAAGCATGATGTACATTCACGCACATACTCTGTCTTACGCTCAATAATAACCTCTTGGTTCGTAGAAACAAACAAACATGTCGCTCAAAGCAACATTCATTCCGGACTACCTCGAACGACGGCCCTTCTACAAGTACAATTGGGATGCCCTTATTATCAAGCTCTCAAAGCTTTACGACTTGGTTCGCACTCGTGGACATCCGGTTCAGGGTGACTCCAGTGCTGGAGGCAGCCAGAGTGCGTTTGTAAGACAAACTACTAAGTATTGGGTAGGTCAAATTTATTTGCAAGCACGAACCACGTAACGACTGCGTGTGCAGGTGCACCCAGATAATCTGGTTCCTCTCAAGCTGGCAATTTTGAGGAATTTGCCCGTACTCGGTTTGTCTGCCTAATCGCATTAACTCCATCTTTTTTAACTTAAAGCAACTGTTCAGTATTCAATGCGGAGAAAGAGTTCGATCTCCAAGATGCTGGTAAGTGTTACACTTTATCACGGTGCTCTCTCATTCAATAAATCTCTCTCGTATAGCCATCACATCGATATATTTTGACAACGAAGATCTGGAACTCTACCTCGGGCGTCTCGAAAAGACCGAAGGGGCACAAGCCATTCGTTTGCGATGGTACGGCAATACTGACGTCAAAACGGTGAGTCTTTCTCAGCCTACCCCGCTTCCTCTTCCCTTACCTTGTTTCGTCGAAGATATTCGTCGAGCGCAAAACCCACCGCGAAGATTGGACCGGAGAGAAATCTGTCAAAGCTCGCTTCCCAATTAAAGAACATCTCGTCAACGCGTTCCTGTCTGGAGAGTATACTATGGACGCCGAGTTCAAGGAGCTCGTCAGAAAAGGGAAGAAGACCCAACAGGAGGTAGATACCATGATCCAGCTTGCTAATGAGGTACAGTATGGAGTCGTTACGAGGGGATTGAAACCCGGTGAGCTCCGCTTCTCATCAATTCGATTTTAGACTTATGGTTAACATTCTTCCCAGTGGTAAGGACGTTCTATAATCGGACCGCTTTCCAACTACCAGGGGATGCGCGAGTACGAATTTCGTTAGATACGGAATTAACTATGGTCCGGGAAGATAATTGGGACGGGTCCATCCGCTGTGGCGAGAACTGGCGTCGAACTGATATAGGGATTGATTATCCATTTGACCAACTCGTCCCAGTGGACAAGGAATTGTTCAAGTATGGTGTTCTGGAGGTCAAGTTACAGACTCAGTTTGGACAGGAACCACCAAAATGGGTCACGGATCTTGTGCAGTCGCATCTCGTGGAAGCTGTTCCGAAATTCAGGTATGCTCTTCGATTTTTTCTGCGCTCCGTTGGTCGTTCGCTGAGACCAGACATCTTCGAAGCAAATTCATACACGGTTGTGCCACGCTGCTTCCCAATCGTGTAGACCTCGTTCCCTTTTGGTTACCACAAGCAAGTCTCGCGACCGTTGTGTTTTTATTGCTTGCTCTAATACCAGCTTTATTCAGATGGACACTGACATCCTGAAACCAAACACCGGCTATATATCCATCGAGCGACCTTCTACCACGGTCTCATCTAAAGGCACCTCGGATCTCCATTCGTCTGATCTTGGGACTCCTGATCCAGACGTGAGCCCAGACAGGTATACGGAACCTGTCTCAGACGGTGAAGAAGACGAGGATATGGACATCGTCCCTGCGAAAGACGAGGGCCGTCGAACGGGATTGACGGAAACGGAAGTGGCCGAGGCGATTGCCTACAGAGAGAAGATGCTGAAACAAGCCGCTGAAGATCAGATTATGAATGGAAAGAATGATCAGGGGAAGGCTAAAAGTGAAGAGGCGCTTGAAGAAGATGCTATCGACATCGATGAGAGAACGCCGTTCTTACGGGCCAGGCGGGCAACGGCCAATGCGCCTGACCGTATGAGAGCATTGTCCATCGATCCTTTAGCGCCGTCGGCTGCTTTTGACGAGACGTTGAAGGAGCGACTACGAGAAGCAAAGAGCCGCGAAGGAGCATCAAGTATTAAGGATACTGCTGTCAACGATGAAGATGACGGGGAAGCGGCAGATCGGGAAGAAGGGTCATCGCAAGGAGCAGCAGGAGGAGACGAGCGCGTGTTAGTCCGCCATTTCAAAGCACCTGATGGCAAGAGAGTTGCCATTCCAGTGCGCATCGAGCCCAAGGTTTACTTCGCCGCTGAACGGACATTCCTCGTGAGTTGCCTTGCTCGGAACCCTTCTCAATAGAATTATATTGATCCTTTCCGCTCAGAAATGGCTGAACTTCGCTGTTCTTGTCAGTATGATCGCGACAACCCTCCTCAACTTTGTTCCCGCGGACGACTCACGCGGCTTGATCAGCGCTGGCATATTCACATTTGCCGCTCTTCTCGCCATCGTATATTCGGCTGTTCTATTCGTCTTCCGGTCGATTAGACTCCGTGCACGCCGTGCGGAAGGATTGTACTATGATAAATATGGGCCGACACTTCTGTGCTTGGTATTACTCGGGGCGATAGGAACAAATGTTGGAATGCGTCTTTCACAGACGACAGAGGATTGGTTGAATGTGTGCAACGCTTATGTAGTATAAATTTATATCCTTCTCATGTACCTGGTAGCAAATGAAAATGGAGCATACTTCAAGGTTGACATGCAAGCTCATCGTCTACGTAATCTCATTCCAATGATTCCATGGTCAAGCCAACTTCGTTTGGGGTCATACACCGAGCTCTTGATCGGCGCTTATGTTTGATATAGCTGGTAAAATGCTCAATAAATTCTCACCTAGTCGGGCGGACTGGCGCAATGGTAGCTCGCTAGTCTCCGAAGCTAGAGGTTCTGGGTTCGAGTCCCAGGTTCGTCGACTGTTTTTCTTTGTTTTGAGAATGCGCTGTCCTCCGTTTCAATAACCACAAGGACGCGCCGACAACAAAATATTTTACAAGGCCGTCTGATTTGAGCTCCCGCAATTTGATTCTACATAAACAAACCCCGTTCATTGTTCGCGCTTTCACGATTCAATCAACAACACAAACTACTTTGCCCGTAGCACTGTTGGACTCCATATATGCATGTGCCTTGCCTGCTTCCTCCATTTTGAAAACGTTATCTAAACCAAGCTTCATTTTACCAGTGGAGATACTATCCACAATTTGCTGCAATGGCGCATTGGGAAAATCAAGGGTGTCGGACGAGAATATTGTTAGTCGCTATGGTAGAACATCAGCTGGCTGTACAGAAGACAGGACACACTGACTTACCTTCCTAGGATACAGATACGTCATAGCGTAAAAGTCCTTAACAACCCACTCTCCACCAACAATACCTATAAAGCTTAGAGTCCCGTCTGGTCCCAGACTGGCACATGAATCTGCTAAGGTAGTTGCCCCAACAAGCTCTGCGCATTTATCGACACCTTTTCCGTCTGTAATCTTCAGTACATCCTCGCTGATCTTACCCGAGTCCAAAATAATGTCATCGACGCCAGCGGCCTTGAGCGTTGCAACTTTCTTGGGGGAACGCGTGGTGGCAATGACTCGAGGGCAGGAAAATATAGTTTTGGCAAGGGTAGCCATGGCTAGACCGACACTGGTGGTTCCTCCCCGGATGAGGAGGGTGTCATTTTGTGTAAGCTTAATTGACTCGCTGAGAGCTCCCCAAGCTGAATATATGCAAGGCGAAGATAATCAAGAAAAGATAGATATAGACCAAATGCTGGCACTGACCAGTCATAAACGTTTCGGGGATGGCTGCGAATTCCGCCCACCCTATATTTTCTGGAAGCTGGATGGGTGGCGAGACGGATGAATGAGGTACTAGAGTGTACTCGGCATACCCCCCTAAGTACGTATAATAACAAGGAGTCGACAACTCAGCTCAGATTGAACGCAAGACATTTCTCACCGTCAAAGGCACGTCCCATTCCACCCATAATCGCACCGACTACGTCTCCCACTTTCCATGGTCCATCGCCACCCGTATCTTTCACCTCACCGACACATTCGATCCCAAGAACTCTCGGGAACACAATTCCCGGCGAATGTCCCTGTCTTGTAAAAAGCTCTGATCTGTTTAGACCAAATGCCTTCACGCGAATCAGGACATAACCAGGCTTTGGGCTGGGTGTAGGATGGGTGGTTGTGTATAGAAGACCGGAAGGAGGGATAGGGACCGAGGGACAGACAATTGCACGCATTACTTTTGGGAGAGACATTTTAATCGACAGTATGTGCATACAGCAGGGTTTAGTATAATCTTGACCTTACAAATACGACGTCATCATCGAAACGGAAAACAATGTGGGTCCAGTGCAAAACATAGCAGCCACGAAAATCCGAGATGTTAGACCGGTGAGTTCGACGGCGACCTATAATGAATGTAATGGGCCGTTGACTTGATATACCCGAACGCCTCTACATAGGCTTCGATGATCAGTGTTGGTTCATGGCGGGTGGCTGTACCAGTAACGCCGCCAATTATAATTATACTTGGCATCAGATACATGTAATACTATGTACATTGCGAGTCAAACCAGATCACAGCACAAATATGTTGATTGTATATACACAAAGCACTCCTCAATACTGTTTCCTATCATAAACTACTTCCTCGCGGGTCTCTTCTTGACCTCCTCGTCCTTGCAAGCATGCAACATAATTTTATTCGGATGTCCAGGAGTCATGCCTGAGTGACCTTTGGACCAATCGTACGAGACGGCATACGCAAAGATGGAACCGTTGCGGTTGAAGGCAGTTGCGGCAATCGGACCTGGGGAGGAGTCGAATGCTGAAAAAGATGTGGGTCAATCAGTCATTTGAGGAGAAATGGAGACGTACTCTTCAGACGCGTACGCGCATCTTTATCCCAGAAGTGGATCGTGCCATCGGAGCCTGACGTATACGCAAGTCAATAACATTGTGCTGAGGTGAGTGTAAAGCATACATACCGCAAGTGGAGAATGTGCCATGAACAGGATGGAACGAGATATCGTTCACCGCATAGACCAATGATTGATCTTTCGAGTTGGGGGTCTGATCTCGGCGGTGGCATTTGAACGAGAAATTGTTGCTGCGAATAGCATTGATATCAATTTACAGATAATGTTGGATACAACTTACGAAGAATCTTTCTCATCGATATATCTGTTGAGAGTTTGATTGAATATTTGTTTCATGGGAACAGCCCGAAAAGCTCACTGGATAGCGACACGGCCTTCGATACTCCCGATGGCAAAACCACTATTCTGTGAAGACGTAAAGCATGACACGACGCGCGTCTGCCACTTCAGCGGCGATACGATGGTCTAAAAAGTATCAGTACACGCGTAATTCAGTGACAAGATCCCCAACTTTTGATATACGAAGACTCACTTTGTACGCAGACGTGGGGTTCGTAAGGTTGAATATTTGGATGTGACGTTCAGCAGTTCCGACTACCATCAACGGATACTGTACGTCCATGCTGTAGCAGCGTTCTGGAAGTTGGACAGTCGATACCGGATTGGGTGTGCGCAAGTCCCAATACTAAGACAAAGTGGATGATTGAGATATCGATGGACTCGCTAACACGCCATAACTCACCTTGATAGTCTTATCCCAACTCCCAGTAGCAAGAATCCCACCCTGAGCATCAATCCATTTGACGACTTTCACAGGGGCTTCATGTTGGGCCACTTGTTGTGACTGCCCTGTGGTAACGTCGAACAAGCGCGCAGCATTGTCAGCACCCCCAGACAATACTTTGTTTCCCTCCTGGAGTCAAGGTCAGCCATATCACTGCGTTTGAAAAGTTAAGACGCGCCTTGTTCCAGCAAACACTTAGTACTGGCCCTTGGTGTGAGAACATCGCCTTTCCTTGTGTCTGCCCATTTGCTCCAACCTCATAAATGCGGACCTATGCCACTGCAGATTAGCGCAGAGCCAAATAATACGCGGATCGCAAACTGAAGGTTTACATTATTGTCCCAGCTTCCTACAGCCAGATAATCTGCAGCAGAGGAAAATGAAATTGACGAGATGGAGTCAGTTGGTGGGTCTGCAACTTCGATGTCTTTTTCAGTGGATGCTGGTACCACGGTCGATGACGACGACGACCCCGTCGCGTTACCAAAGAACGACATGGTTGCGGTATATGAGCCAAAAGCGCCCTGATAATGAGTGGGTTTGAAGGTTGTGGGGAAAGGAGGATTGCCACCTCGTGGCTCAGTCGTTCAACTTGTCACCTTGTTTGAACGTCCATTCGTGCCAGCAGCGGCACCGAACTCATCTTCACGCGACTATGTCTCACAGGAATCAATCCCAGCCTGCTGAGCTGATCTAATGTTCTTGACGTTGACTGGAAACTCACCCTGACTGGCAAGCAACCTCTCAGTGTAATCAAATTTTCAGAAATTGAGAGGCAATGCGGAGGTTGATGTCCGCTTTGAAGTGCTATCTGTTCTCTAAAGTAACTCTTATTTCCAACCGAACACCAGCGATGCCGCCAAGGCCCATCTCTTGCAAACGCTGATTGGATTTCGCTCTGGCCATCGAACTGTTTTTATTATTTTATTATTTTAATTTTGCGGTCATCACGCCTTGACTTGGGAATGTTTATCTCGTGATAAGCGAGCTTGTCGCATTAGTGAGCCCATTCAAATACCTGATACCGAAGATAATCCTGATGCCGTGAAGCTCCAGTCTCTAATTACTGCGGAAACATGTCACTCCGAAATTGGGGACAGTGACTTGAAACTCGACATGCACCGGATTAACCCTTCGACATTTTTGAAGTGCCCTGCCCGACTGACGGTCCAAAGCCTCCTTTGCAGTCTCCGGTTGACGACGGCATACATTGACACTAGCCCTCCGACTCTACAGTCTCGAATAAACGAGTCTTTCGCGTAACAGCACTAATTGTTGCTTATCCATGGCCTTTGGGCATCTTGTATACATGATGGCAGATCTGGACTCCATCGTCTTATATGAACACCTTGAACTTCCGCCGGCTGCAACTGTCGGAGAACGTCTTAGGGTCTGCGGGGGCATGGGTGGAGCTGGGTGGAGGAGCAATGTTTACTTCCGTCATTTCCGGGAACCAATACTGCCGATATAGCGACCGCGCCAGTCCGATTTCATTTCATGACAGCAGTTGCACTGCTATCTCCTCCGCATCTTGGACGTGGATCCACACTTCTTCCTTGCTGGAAAGCCTAAAAACGTTTCAGTGGTCAGAGGTTGGGAACCTGCGCAGATCATATTTCTACCAGACGGTCTTAGGAGTGAAGCTCGAAAGGCAACAGAAAAACTAAATGAGAGACATACTTACTACCGCTTACAATCGTCATTCGAGACTTAGGTGGACGAACTTTTCACCTTTTACGCGGCATCCCCGAATGACTCGGCATCACGAATGGATCTATTAAGATGGGCTTATGGCACCATCGATTAGCACGGCCCGTTCACTGGTGACTAAACTGAATAGGCTCCAAGCGCCTCGACGACTAGTACGGACTTGCAGACACCTTTCCTGATTTAGACCGTTCTGCCCAAAATGGGTTCACAAATGCGTTGCGGTGCAGCTCCACGATCAGATGTCCGACGAGTGCTCAGTTGCAACTGTCCTAAGTTTGGGATCACCGAGGTGCGCAATTTCATCTCCGCAATGGAGGCGGTCCCGTAGAACAAGCTTGGTACTAAACACCAACTTCTCGCAGTTCATATAAAAATACATAGAGGGCACGATGATATTCTCCATCTTCATCCCTTCCGCTAGAACATCTTATTCTCAGATCAATTTACTTTCACTTTATGATTTTAACGACTTCCTTTGCTTTCTTTGGGCTACTTTCTGCCCAGATTATTCGTGCTTCTCCCGTTACACAGA